GTGATAGGAAAGAATCCACCGGCTGTGAGTTGACACGGTCGCATTGACTTCAGTATCATCATGTTTATATCTCTTCGCATCATTCTTCCAGATTCATTCATCGGCAACATGGTCCACCATCCTGAATACGATGCCATGCTGATGTTGGAGCTTTCCTCAACTAAACCATGGCAGATGTACGTGAAGAAAATGATATGGATAAAGCTGCCGATCATGTGGAAAAAGAAAATGAGGCGTGTGCCTGTAGGTACGTCTGCCTGTATGCAAGTAAGACGAAATTTCGTTATATCTTACAAACAAAGACAAACAGAACATATATTTTTTCAATGTTTTTAAATGTCCAATCAGCTGCCGAAGTGAATCCCACATAATTCATCATTAGTTGATAGTCATCGCGAACGAAACAAAACGTTACAAAATAAAGATAAATAAATCCCTCACGTACTAACACTATCATGGTGATCGTACGATTATATATCTATTGCGAGTCGACATGTCAGGACAACTCTTTTTATTTCTTGTGTCATTTCAACTTGCAGCAACATCTACATGCGGCAACATCTCATTTCTCAACGTTCATCGGAAAAATCCAAGGAGTGAAAATCTGATTTTGCAAACGTACCAGAATCATCTCGTACGTGTCGAAACACATCAGCATGCTAAAGATGACCATATTGCTGAGGATCGGCAGCGTAAAGATGCCTTCGAGTCTGTCGCTGTATTCGATTAACGACTGATGCTTTCGGATACACTTCTTCAGGATTTCGTAGCATTTGTCTGAGTAAGCGACGATATCCGTTCCCTTGTCAATGTCCGACCATAAATTCAATAAAGTGTTCTGCAGTATACGAAACTGATAGACCACGTGCAGATTCAACACGCACAGGACGTTCTCGGGACATACATAGCTTACGCCAATATGTTGTACGGCCAGTACCTGTGTAAATATCGTGGAGAATGATTATCGATGAAGAAAATAATTTTGACACGTGTCGCGTTATCGTGTTTCCAAAAGTAAACGTAGTGCATGTTTCAGACGTCGGATGTACGAGTTAATTCGTGGTTTATGTGATGAATTAATTGACTGTTTTACTCGGAATTCGAATCATCTAGTTCTTTGAAGGTTTTGAGTTAGGAACGAGCTCCGAGTAGCCCGAAACAAATGAATTTTGTTAAATGTCTGCAACTTTACAAAACAGTGCTGTTCTACAATGTTTTTCGTGCATTTCAGTGATTGAGAAATGCACGTTTATATATGACAAATTTGTTAGAAGAAGTGATAATGTGCATATTTCATAGATTGGTAACTTTTTCTTGGCTAGTTTGCCAAATTTAGCCCCTTGAAATTATATTCGCATTTCTATCATCTTCATCTGAGCAATATGTATTTTCAAAATGTTGGAAGAACTATTGTTGAGCTTTAAAAATGCCTTCATTTCTTTTAGAGAGAGACGTACGAAAAGTGACAAATATTACTTCCCTAATAATTGAAATTTACTTTATATATTTTGTAAATAGGGAAGCGCCACAGAATTAATTTGCATATTCGTCAATGCACTGGAAAAATGCATTTTTTAATGGATCATCTTGTTACTTTCTTTTGCATAAATTTGCATAAATTATTTTGGCAATGATACAGTTGTTAGAATATGGAGTTATTGAAAGCTCAAACTTGTTGAAACTTATAAAACGATGCTTATCTTGAAGTATACGTAAGTGAAGGTTTAGGGCACCTGGAAGGCGAACATTATTTCGTAATAAGGTGTCACGCTTAGCGGTAGATTGACCCACATTTTGAATGGAAGTATCCTATCCGATTTATTGTGTCCAATATTTGCTGGAAGCATGAATGCAATGTAGTGAGAGAATATGGTAAATTAATTTTTATTGTAAATCTATAATAAATATTAAATGTATATAATATGTATCATGTGTATGTATATGTATATATTAATAATTAATTATGTTAACAATTTCATTATTATATTATATGTACATGTGTAATATATTATTATATTACAATTATTACATAATGATTATATACATATATAGATACATGTGTTTATATGTATTAAATATTACTTTCTAATATAGGCATTCGTTCGATGCTTATCCGATTAGTAGTAATGAGTAGTATTTTCTTCTTGTGAAAAAGCAACTTTATTTAATCTTTTGACCAATGAAAACTTACCACAGATTGGAACAATTGCATAGAAAGACAAGGTAGCTTCAGTAATAAAGACAAGAAATACCGTCCACATTTTGCAAATCTTTCGACACTCCGCGAAAAGTAGCTTCTCGTCGTGGTTATAATCGAGATGCCAGAAATGCTTTTGTGCGTATAGAACTATATCCGAGAACTCCGTTCTATAAAAACTTATCACCGTAAGTTTGAACATCGCCAGGACTATGTTCAATGTGTTAGAGGTCAAAAAGATACAATGCTGAAAAAATAATTTGCGACAATTGGTCGGTATGTAACTTCGAAACAAGGAACAGTGATTATTGTAGAATGCGAATTTTTATGCAA